AGCTCTGAACACATGATGAAACTCTGAATGATTTCAAGCAGGAACTTTGTCTCCTCAACTCACATCTTCTATTCTTTATTCAGACTGATTCACTGCAAGTTGTTAGAGATCAGCTGTGATTCTCTGGTCTCAGCTCTGAAGTCCAACCCCTCCCATCTGAAACATCTAAACCTGAGTGCCAACTTCAATCTGCCAGATTCAGGAGTGAAGCATCTGTGTGGTTTCCTGGAGAATCCAGAATGCAGCCTGGAGACTCTGGAGTAAGTTCACTGACTGTCTGTTACTGTTGGAGATCTGATGTGTTTAATGACAACTGAAGCTCATTGATGTTCAAACAGAACTTCATCCATGAAGCTGTAAATCTGCTCTGGTTCATGTTTTCTGCTTTTTGTCCTGAATTCAGTTTGTTGTGACAAAAGCTGAGTGTTTGTATCAGAAACTGTAGAAAATGTTCAGTGTTAGTTGTTAAAGTCAATGAATGTTTGTAGTTTGTGCTGAAGAGTCACATCTGGATCCAGAAGATCCTCTGAACTCAGATCAGTTTGAAGAGAAATGTTTCTTTGGTTTGTGTTCAGTTCAGTGTGATTTCACTGATCCTGATCCTGTTGATGCTGCAGCATGTTGTTGATGTGTGTGGACATGAACAGCTGGATGGATGTTGTGCTGACATCTGGATGATGTGTGTAGAAGCTGACATGATGATGATCCACAATAACAGAAGGACAAAGTCACTGTGCTGGTTGGAGAGAAAAGCTCATTGATGAGGACAAAGTCATGTTGATCTGCACATTCAGAACATGAACACATCTGATGGATCAGCACTGATTTTATCTACATCTTTTATTCTTTGTTCAGATTGAGCAGCTGCCGGTTGTCAGAGATCAGCTGTGATTCTCTGGCCTCAGCTCTGAAGTCCAACCCCTCCCATCTGAAACATCTGGACCTGAGTCACAACAACGTGCAGGATTCAGGAGTGAAGCATCTGTCAGATCTTGTGGAGAGTCCAGACTGCAGTCTGCAGACTCTGAAGTCAGACATCATGTTTTACATTGTGGTGCTTGATGCTAAAGTTAGCTACAGATATTAATAATGACAGTTAAAACCTTTCCTCCATTCAGATGAAGTATGTTCAATAGAGCTAGCTCAAACAAAGTCTGACTATTTTTCACTTGCCTTTGTTGTGTTTGTTGTGTCCCTGCAGAATCAGCGACAGGGTGTTTGAAGCTCCCAGAAACAAAACCTGTGAGTACAACATCATCAGTAAAACTAAATCATCATGTGCTCCTTTTGTCACAGTCATATATGCAGCACCAGTCAAATGTTTGAACACACCTTCTCATTCAGTGGCTTTTATTTATATATCGAAGACATCTGAGGGCTGAACTATGAAGCGAGATCAGTGGGTTATCGAGGTA